TGCTGCAATCCAGTTATCGACACCTTGTCCGCAGCGGTTGTCGCTGCAAGCGCCCGATTTAATTTCAACCGCCCCAACGAATCACTTGTAATCTAGTATTCGTGTTGATAAAGTTTGTTTGTTGACTCCAATCTGTCCACTACGCGCCACAGTACAACAGCATTCGTCCAGCTCTCGTCTGAAACTTGTCGTTCGTCATCATCGTCGTTCTCCTCGTCGTGCTGCTCATAACAAGAAGCTAAGAGCTCTCAGTTTTACCTGCGTAGCTTCACCTTATTCGTTGCCGGTTTAGTATTATTGTACCAGGTTCATATTCATTTCTGCACTGCAAAACACAGTGTATAATATACTGCATTACTTGCTCCCGATGTGGATTACAGTACGTAGGTCGGACTAAACGCACACTCAAAACAACATAAATATAATGTTAATAAGAACCTTTTACATTACTATCTTTATCAACATTTCCGCAAGGACGGACATACGGCACATGACATGCGAACGCAAATATCACAGGTAGTCTCAGATCCTGATTTGCTTTTAAAAGCTGAATATTTCTGCATTCGAACCTTTCAGTGTATTTATCCGTTTGGATTAAATGATAATATTAAAGGTTTTGGAAATGTTTCAGACCTACAGTATGATTATAAAAAATACATGCCTTATTTTGGTTTAAGACTGCCTCAAGTAGCACGAAGAAAAGGCAAAAAACGACGCAACTCTAAAATTACTAATAATGATTCTATTAACTTCGTTATTACTGGTTTTATGAATACATCAGCTTGGTACTGCGATTTTATTAAAAGATTACAATGCCAAAGTAAACGTACATTAAACACTTTACTCAATACTGTTAATATAAATTTTCAATTTTGCTACGTACGCGCAATTTTACTTATTTTAGTACTTAAACACGTAGTACATGTAAAGGAACTCTTAAGCGTCTCAAACAATTTTTTATTAGCATGCGTTATGCAAGTCCGCTTTACAATGAAATTTGTTATAACAGACCTATTAACAATAAAGAATGGCGATTCAGAAGAGTGACACTTTTCCCTAAAGTAAATATGGTTTTTAGATATGATGCTCCACTTAGTAAATCAATCTTTAACTGTGAGTCGTGGCTACAAAATCTTGATGATAACTTCGTTGATAACTATAATTTAGAGAATTTCCTGGCTTCTTTGCCCTGCCAGTGTTCTAACTCTAACTTCATATATGCACCAGTAGGACATATAGTAACTGGAGATTCTAATGTTACTCCTAGTAACTTATTACGATCATTATTGAACCGAGGCCGTAAATTTCGTATACAACACAGTCTAAGTCAAGACCACATACAGAGTAAAACACAGTCTAAGTCAAGACCACATACAGCCTAGGCAACCGTCAGAGGGTTCACGCCACGTAGCCACTCAACCCTCCTACCCACCCCCTTACCACGCCTGCCTCAAATCTCGCGCATGAAATCCGCGCACACCCCGCCCCCTCCCATCTACCCCGCCTAATGTCCTTTGCCGGGGGAAGGGGGAAGGGAGAGAGGTAGCGACACTCGTCGTTGGCAGAAGAAATTTTTCGCAAATCGTGTATGGCACCGGCCGCTTCCGCGTGATGAATTACTGAGGGGGGGAAGGGACGGGGGTAGGGGGGTGAAGGTGTGAGGAGGGGGTAGATGTCTAGGATACTATCGTGCGAGGGAAAGGGGGGGGGGGTTGTTGATTGGTAAGATTGTCTGGAAGTAGAAATCTGAAATAGGCGGGACTTTTTTGTCGTTGATATCCTTAGAGCTATTTAAGGAAAGCAAGCGGATGCGCGCAAGAAAAAGTTAGAACGATCCATAAACGGTCTGCAGCGATTCTCCCTACTTCAATAATCTCTGCAGCTGTGATGAGTATAAAGGATTGTAACTTCCAGTGTTAGTGTTGTGTTTCTTCTTATCCAACGTTTCGGCCATGTACAACGTCTTCGCAACGCCTGTGCCTTCAACGTGCTTTTAATAAAGTTTCGTTTTGTTTTGGCAAGCGTTTCCTGCAATAAGAGTCGTCCGCGTCGTGTCATTGTTGCTTCTGCTCGTCCTCCTACTCCGCGTCGACGTACAACATAACACTTGGCCACGCGCAACATGGGAGTTGAGCCGATTGGTTCGCGATTTTGAAACACGTTCTAGGAAAGCGCAGGAAGAGGAGGGGGGAAAGGTCTCCCGACCCCCCCCCCCTCCTCCAACGGTACAGACGCCAGTGCTGCAAAAGCCCGGGTCAGTTCATTGGTGGGCGGGCCACCTGGGTTCTCCATTGCTGCATCGGTCTAAATTCGGTTAAATGAAAACGAAGACCACCACTATCAGTTTTGGAACTAATCACAAAAGCTTCAGATTATCGGCGGAAGCTTTCACCGCTCCACACTCTTCCCCCGCTCCTCCTCCCTCCATCCCCGCCCCTCTTCCTCCAGGAGTCCACCCTAGATGTGCCTATGAGTCGACGGCAGCGATGAAAGTGCCATAGAGGGATTTAGAGTTACATTGCGATCCGCAATCACGTCGTGAAGGTTCGCGAGGGGCAAGCCCATCGGTGTGGCAAATGGGGCAGCTCTCCAACAGACAGAGAGGTGTGCTTGGTGCAGGAAAGGTGAGTGGTTTCTCCGAAGGTACGGAGAGCGTTGGTGTGGCTTTGAGCAGAAAGCGTCAGTGGGGTGGGTGAGGCCGTGGAGGGAGTCCCGGCTCACGCGATGCGAAAGGTGGTTGATGCCCGTAGCACAACCGCGGAGATCGAAGATTACTTCCAGCGGCAAGTACTAAAGCTCGGCTTGCTGCGGCAGCTGCACGGTTTGTGAATTTACCTGCAGACCGTGTAATGGGAAGCGGGAGAGGGGAGGCAAGGGGGACGGGGTTTTGAAGGGGGGGAGGAAAAGGGGGAAGATCGGGAGGGATGGGGGGCTGTCGTGCGGGGGTGGTGGCCGCGGGCACGGGGGGAGGGGCAGTT